GGGCCGTCGGGCCGTGGGTCTGCGTCCGGCCCCGTTGGTCGGCTCGCCATGCGTCGGCCCTACCTCCTCGCCACCACGACGGGCCGTGGAGGCTCGTACCAACCCAACCCGACCCCCAACCGCCCCGAGGTGAGTCGCCAGTGGGGGCCCCAGACCAGACTGCCTCCTGGAGGTGCGGGACCCCTGCCCACCTCCCACCTCTCGATCCTTCCTTCTTCCCAGGGGGAAACAGCTTCCGGACCCCTATCCAAGAGGAGCACGCCGACGCCAACTCCAGCTTGGCCAAGATCTGAGCTGCGTCCACCGTCATGGGAGCCGGCGCCCCCTTCCCAGGCCGGGGCCCCAGAGGGGCATCAAGGGCCTCCCAGGCGCAGGCTGCCCCACCTGTCGCCCTGCCCTGTGCCGTTTTAGGTGCTCCTGGGCTGGCCCCCTGGGCTCTGCTACGTATGCTGTGCATACTCCCCACCCGGGCGGGGCCCCAATAAACGACGTTGGCAAACGAGGGTCTGTGACTGGGCACAGGTGGGCTGAGGGCTGCACACCCACGGTGGGTAGGGTGTGGGGAGGGGCTCCTGTGGGGCACTCAGAGACCCCAGGGCTGCTGTCCCCCTGTCCTCTGGGCACATCCAAGTCCCTGTGCACTGAGAGTCAGGCAAGATCTTAATCCGGGCGAATGGACCCGAGGGCACTGGGGCCACTCGAGAGGGGCCGGCAGGGGCTGCTGGGCTGGATCCTAATGGAGCAGGTGGGAACCCTGAGGCCATGGTCCCAAAGGGCGTTTTAGGACCATCTGGGGGGTCTCTGGGTACCCCTTCCAAGAGAGGACACAAGTGTCTCTTTCTTCCCTGCTGGACCTGAGCACGTGATGACCCCAATACCCCCATCGACGCCTGAAGGGCCCTCGAGTCTGCCGAGGCCTGCTTGATGCCATCCAGGGGGACTCGGGCCGTGAACAACCCCCTGGGAGTCCCAGTAGTGGGCGGCACCCTACAGTCCTGCACAGAAACTGGGGCTCCTGACCCCAACGCTTTGTCCACCCTGGGAGCAAACAGAAACATGCATAGCAGCTTTCTGTGCAAAGGTTCCAAGGTGGGAAACCCAAGTGTCTGAGGACAGTAGAGTGGGCTGCTAGTTGACCAGCACTGAGGGAGAGTGCCGGCTCCGGCACCGACACGGGGTCTGGAGGGATGGAGAACGCGGGAATGAGTGGCAGGGGTGTGTCTCCGTGCCCCTCCCTGCACACGAAGTGTGAGGCCTTAACCGGCTCACCCGAGCTAAAGGCAGGCGCTGCACAGTCAGCCCCAGGGTGGCCATGGAAACCTCATGGCCCCTAGACTTTTGCGCCCCTGGTGATCGAAGAATTACCATGAATCAAAATAAAAGACCACGAGGTGCTGGAGGTTTCAGCTCCACTCGGGGGAGCAGAGGCATGCAAGAGCCGGAGACAGCCTCTGCCAGTGCGCTTGGCCAAGATGCCTGCCTGATGCCCCTTCACGGCCACCGACAATGCGTGCAAAGAGGACGCAGGCCTCTGATGCTGGCAGATCCTCAGCGAGGCTACCCTGGGGCCCCTCCTGGTTTCCCAGGCTGGCTTTCTTCCCAGAGTGGCCCTAGAGGGCTGTCTCACCTCTCCTCAAACCTCTGACCCCTGACCCATCCCTTGGACCTCTTGGTGCAAAGGGGAGCTGGCGCTATCCGAGCTCGGGATGAACGTGTACTCTCTGCCCTTGCAGTGGGCAGCAAGTTGGCACCACTGATCTGCAGCCCCTAGCCCGGGCAGTGTGAGGCTGTGCAGAAAGCTTATGGGACCTGAAGGAGGGGCTGGGTCCTTGAGGCCTGGGGGCCAAAGGTCATGGGAAAGGGCTTCCTCCCAAACCTCCCAGCTGTTCTCCCAGCCAGAATCCCCACCTTGTCCCTGCCTGGTGGCTCCACCTCTGCCATCAGATAGATGGATGGACAGACAGATGGATGGGCAGATGGACAGGGGTTGGAGACCTTCTCTTTGCTTCAATGCTGCCCCTAAGCACGCTCTCCACCCTGTCTCTGCTGACAACCATCCCCCACCCCGCGCCTGAGCCCCGCCTGGGGCCCACAAGCACCCTCCAGTGTGCCCTTGGCTGCATCTTCCTACAGGGACCCTGCTCCAGGGCCCCAGCCTGGACTCTGCGCTTGGGGGACCCTCTCCCCATGAGGGCATGCTACTCATGTGAGCTGAAGCAAAAGATGAAAATGTGACAAGCTGCTCAGAAACTACTGGAAAATACAGACGAGCAGATAGAAATCACCCCCTGCCGCCCTGCCCTGTTCAGAAACTCCTCAGCCTGCGGCCGCGTGGGAGGGGCCTTCCGGAGTCTCGGGAACTGGAGAGCAGACTCAGGCCCCGGTCCTGACATCACTCTTGCCTCTTCGCTCACAGCCACCACCCCCACGGTCACGTGACCCTCCCTCTGGTTTCCTGCCACTGCAGGTGGCAGTCCCCCCAAGGCACTTGACCTGCAGACAGCCTGCCCCGACGCCTGCTGTGCCGGCCCCACTTCCAGAAGGGCCGACAGCAGGACCTAGTCTCACATGCATCATTTGTAGGGGACTCGCCATATTTTCTTGGGCGCTCACCAGAACTGCGGTGACCAGCAGACCAGCCCTTTAAACTGAGCAGGGGCGGAAGGCCCAGACCTGCCCAGTTCTCTACTGGGCACCTTCACCTAGTGTCCAGGGACGCCCGGACGGCCGGACGGCCTCCCGTTCTGTCCCAGTGCTCAGACCCACCTCCCGTCTAGGAGCTGAACCAAGGACTGGGGCAACCCTCAGGGGGGCCCTTCCGCAGTCCCAGCGGCCTCACCTCACCCCAGTCACTTGCAGCCACAGCTGCCCTGTAGACTCCTCCCTTTCCTGCAGGACTGAGTTGCTCTTCTGAGGTGGTCTTGCACATCCTGGGACTTGAGAACAATCCTTGAGTCACAAATCGCTGACTCCTGTCATTTCCCTCCGAAAAGGACAACTGCTCCAGCAGGTGAGGTGGGGCTGCAGGTCTCAAAGGGTCTTGAACCAAGTCTCCTGGGTCTGCCCAGGTAACAAGGTCACAACCGTAACACACCTCCAGTCACACTCCTGGGACCACACTGCCTACCCCGCAGCATTCCCTGAGGTCTTCACCAGCTTCCCCAGTACCAGGCCTCAACTCCAGGGCCAAGTGACCCAGGAAGGCTTCCTGGAGAAGGCAGGGCCTCAGAGCCCCTTGATGCCACTTGGAGAACCTGAGGCTCAGAGAGATGAGGACAGTTCACAGTGAGTTGGAGGCTGAGTTCTCTGTGGCTCAGGACCTCTGTTGGGGGCCCGCCTTCCACACCCTCCAGGACTGCCGCCTTCATGTGCTGGGCTCTGGGTAGAACCTGCCCAGCAGTCAGAGCTGCAGCCTGGGCAGCCACCTCCTCCCTAAACGTCAGGGTTCAGTTAGTGCCCCGTCTCTCCCTGACAGCTCTTCCCAGCAGGTGTCTGCATGGCTGCAGCCCACAGGTGTGTGTATGTGGTGGGGGGGCTTGCATGTCTGAAGCCCGGAAAGGCCCAGTTGGCCAAGTTGAGGGGTACTCGTCCTAATTTCCAGAAAGTGGGGGCTCGTCCTGATTCCTGGAAAGAAGGGCATTTGTTCTAATCCTCAGAAGTTGGGGGGTCCTCCTGATCCCTGGATGAGTTCCAAGGCTGCTCAGGACTGGGATTCCAGGACTTCCGGCAGGTGGACAGGTGTGGGGTCCGGGCTCTGCAGGCTTAACTTCATCCCCCCTGCTCTGGGCATCAGAGAGCTTTAACAACCCCTGAGGAAGCTGGAGGTGGGGAGCAGACTCAACCAGGAGCCAAGAGGGTGCAGCAAGGGAGCAGTTCCCGATGAGTCCACTGTGGTGGGGGGTCCTGGCATAAGCTGTCCATGGCTAATGCCCAGTCTGAACGACTCAGGGCACCCTGCATTCAGCACCCATTCCTGCCGGCCCTCCCACCCCACCCCAGTTCCTTCAGACCTGGTGGCCACAGGTTTTGCATAGAAAACATTTCTGACACCCACCCTTTGTGCCCCAGCCGCGGTGTGGCTGGGGATAAGACCGGTGTTTCCCCTGACAAGGCACACACATCTGGGGCGTGTTTAGTTTTTGGACAAGAATTCCTGGGCCAAAGGGCATGATCACTTGGGAATCCCTCAAGGTCACTCCGAAACATGGGTCTCCTGGACACCCCCTCTTTCATGGTCACGTGCTCTGCAGGCTGTGATGGGACTCGCCCCCTTGAGGTTCCTCTGGGCTCCCTTGAATTAGAAAAAAGACTATTTTGTAGAGCAGTTTTGTGTTCACAGCAAAAGTGAGGGGAAGGTCCAGAGATTTCCCGTATACCGCACCCCCGCCAGCCTCCCCCACGATGGACGCCACAGAGGGTGCGTTTGTGACAGAGGAGCTTGCAGGGACACAGCCTGGCCGCCCAGAGTCTCGCGTTCACACCAGGGTCGCTCCGCGCTGTGCTTCCTGTGCTTGGGACAGGTATCTCCCGCTGTAACCACACAGGGTCTCACTGCCCAAGATCCTCTGCCCGTGCCTTGGATTTTGAGTTGCAAGGTCTTGTGGGAGGGGTCCCCCAGAAGAACAATTTCTCCGGGCCCCCTGGGGCGTGGCAGAGGCGGGGCGACCTGCGGGGCGGGGTCTGGGAGTGTCCGGGGGAGGGGCTGTCTCCTAAAAACCTCGGCGCGCAGTGCAGCCATGGGTGCCATGGGGGCGAGGGGCACGCGCCTGGCCCTGTGCGGCGTTGCGCTGTTCTGCGCTCTGGGCCTGGGCCAGCGCTCCGCCCGGGGCCCGAGCTGCGGCCCCGGCCGCCTTCTGCGT